TAATGACCTTTAAAGAAGGAAAAAAGACTTGTATATGTGTATTGCTTTTCATATAAATTTCAATAAAAATTTTTGTTTTTACCAACTGATGGTTGCTTCCGGTATGTCACATGTTATATTCGGGGTAGAAACTTTTTGCATAAAGATGCACCTAATTCCATTCACTACAGGTACTAAATTAATATTTGACTCATGTAAACACAAACAAATCTTGCTGATCATTTTAAATTCTTTGAATAGATTCGGTTTTCATCATCATTCCTTCAACAATGGAAATTATTTCTAACTTCACTATTTGACACTTCCATATGTATCAATGCGTGTAAGAATTTTTATTTTTCTTAAGATTTTTTTTGTTAAAACAGTGAAATATTCATCATTGGCATCACAAGGTGGTTTATTGAACCCTAGAAGATATTGGAAAATTTGAAGTCATATTAGCAAATGTATTGCTACATATAAATTGTTTTACATGTCAATTGGTCTTAGTTTCCATTAAAGTCATGATTTCCTATTTGATCCTATAAAATATCGCATGTGAACTAAAGGCATGTCATGCATATTTTAATGTTGTACTGGTACAATCGATACCAATGAGTTGTCATGCTCCAGTACAACCGATACTAATGAGTTGTCATGCTCATTTTCAAGTCATGAGAAGGTAATCCTTTTAGCTTTCATTTTTTTGTATATATACCTTTAGTCTCAACCAAACATTTTTGTGGCAAGGGTGTGTTTATATTAGTCTCTAATAGAAATTAGATGTTGGTATCCACACTATGCCTATGTAGTTTTAGTTTGCCGATGTTGGAATATGAAAATTAATATGATGCATCGATTGTTAGGAACCGGACCGGGTACACGCAGCGGAAACACACTATCACACACACACAAACTCACGAAAATAAAGCAAGAAGAACACAAGGATTTTACGTGGTTCGGATTCGGTGCAAATCCTACGTCCACGGGCTGCAACTAGAGATTTTTATTAAAACTCACAAGATTACAATTGGCTTGACACTCTACACTTGATGTTCTCTCAAGTTTTTGCACACAAAATATGCAAAACATACATGCATATATATAGGTGAGAGAGCCGCAATTTGCACATGAAATTGAGTCGTCGTAACAATAGTACTCAAATGTGAAAGCCGCAAATGTTGAGTCGTCGTAACAATAGTACTCAAATGTGAAAGCCGCAAATGTTGAGTCGTCGTAACAATAGTACTCAAATGTGAAAGCCGCATGTTTTCAACCTTTCATATTTTACCTAACAATCTCCCACTTGAAAGTTTGAACAACATGGTCCGTCTCTGTCATCCAACTCCAGTAATCTTAAAACAACCAAGTCTTCCAAGCCTCCAGTTCCTAAGAACAAGCTAAACTTAGTCCCATTTCTCTAATTGCAGCCGCCCCTCATCTTCAAGTACTAGAAGGGACAGTTGAAGCTCCCACTAGCTCCAACTCAGTCGTGGTTAATCCCACCACCGACTCATCCTCTGTCTCAACCGGTTTGGACACTCCACCAGATCCAGAGATACACCGAGGACCACTAACACTCTCCCAACTTTGCAAACTTTCAACAGGAGAGACTTTTTCAGTCTTAGTCTTCAAAACCCAACGGCTCTTTGTAACTGTACCCGAAACACACCCCGTGCTCCCACTGTCACAGAATCCCCTGAATGGTTTAGAATTTCTGACTCGTTCAGCTAACATCCCCTTGGCTCCAGAATTCATGTTTGCAAAATGAACTCTCTTAGCCGTAGATTTAGCGAACCAGATTTTGTCTTGCTTAACAGGGACGGTCATACTTCCCTCAGCAGATACCTCAACCATATACAATGACCCACACTTCATACCATGAGCAATCACTAGATTATCATTGATCACCCTCCATTTACCACCACCAAACCTTACTTCCAGTCCTTGTTTATCCAGCTGACCAACAGAAATCAATTTCTTCTTCAGCTCCGGAATCACCCTGACATCCTTCAGGCTCCATGTAGTTCCCAATGAAGTAACCAAATCAATATCTCCCATGCCCGTTACCTGAAGCATCTCGTCATTTGCCAAACGTACCTTTCCAAAATCTCCTTCTTTTAGATTCACCATCGTTTCCCCGTTGTCCATGGCGTGAAACGAAGCCCCTGAATCCATGACCCAAGAGTCCACAGAACTTTCCATACTGAGTATCAATGCATCATCCTCAGACACACTCTCAGCACCGGAAATGTTCAATTCTTTCTTTGGACATTGACTCTTAACATGTCCCACTTCCTGGCAGTTCCAGCACTTCACATTCTTCTTAGTTCTAGATGAACTTCTTCCCCGACTCCCACTGCTTCCATTATTCCTGCTATTCCCTCTACCTCTTCCGACATTTAATAAATCAGAAGAGGAAGATCCACCTTGATTCTTGCGTCTGATATCCTCGCCTAGAACCAAATCTCTAACCCCTTCAAAAGTCATACCACTGGTCCCCACGGAACTCGTAACAGCAGTAACTGTTCCGGACCAGCTATCAGGTAAAGAAGCTAGTAGCAGTGATGCTTGAGTCTCGTTATCAAATTTAATTCCCACAGATGATAATCTGGATAGAATTGAATTTAGATTGTTAATGTGAACCGTAACTGAGCCTTCCTCATTCATCCTTGTAGTGAACAGCTCCTTCATCAAGAACACCTTGTTAGCCGCCGATGGTTTCTCATACATATTTGACAGAGCCTCCATCATACCACGTGCCGTGGTTTCATTCATGATGTTGAAAGCAACGCTCTTCGTCAACGACAATGTAATAACCGCCTTGGCTTTCTTGTCCTTTGAGTTCCACGCATCTTCAGCAGCTTTTTCCATTTTCTCCGGTTTGTCTCCGAGTACCAAGTCCAAGTCTTTCTGACATAGCAATGCTTCTAGTTGCATTTTCCACCAGCTAAAATCAGAACCGTTGAACTTTTCGATTACAACATTGTCTTCAGCCATTACGACAAACAAGATACAAATCAGGTACACTCGTGCGTGATAAAAAAAATGATTGTACCCTCCAAACCTCGCTAATCTGGCTCTGATACCAGTTGTTAGGAACCGGACCGGGTACACGCAGCGGAAACACACTATCACACACACACAAACTCACGAAAATAAAGCAAGAAGAACACAAAGATTTTACGTGGTTCGGATTCGGTGCAAATCCTACATCCACGGGCTGCAACTAGAGAATTTTATTAAAACTCACAAGATTACAATTGGCTTGACACTCTACACTTGATGTTCTCTCAAGTTTTTGCACACAAAATATGCAAAACATACATGCATATATATAGGTGAGAGAGCCGCAATTTGCACATGAAATTGAGTCGTCGTAACAATAGTACTCAAATGTGAAAGCCGCAAATGTTGAGTCGTCGTAACAATAGTACTCAAATGTGAAAGCCGCAAATGTTGAGTCGTCGTAACAATAGTACTCAAATGTGAAAGCCGCATGTTTTCAACCTTTCATATTTTACCTAACATCGATATGCATTTGACAAATAATAAGTACATCACATTATTTACTTAGTAGATATTAATGGATATAAATGTCACTTTGTGCATTTGCAGTTGCGTAATTTGGATTGAAGCATATCAATAGAGGTGTGTGGTGATAAACAAACATATGTTTCGTAGTATTTATTGGATGTTTTGGATTTGGTAGAAAAGAACCCATCAAATACAAAAGAAAAGAAAAAAAACATTAATATATTTCTAAAAATGAAAACGTTGTATTTTGAATAACATGTAATATTAGGGTAAAATATGAAAGGTGTTATGATATAAATATCAATAATATATAGTAATTTTAATATTTATTTATCAAAATTTTAAGTACGTAATTTTACGTTGCGCAACGCGCGACTATTCGTAGCTAGAAAGTTGAATGGTTAGGAGTTTCAAATGGATATAGTACAAAAAAATGTTTCTTTTATAATATAATATATATAGATAGATTAGAGGGTCTTACTTTGCTGGTCATAACTAGCTAAGTTTAATATTTGGTAATTTTATCGTACCTTTAATTGACCAATTAAACATGAAGGAATTCATCTTCGCTAGATATATTCACTTCAATTGGTAATAGTCAAGAGCTTCAACCCATTTAGAGAGTCTTTGGCTAAGCTTATGAAAAATCATAAGCATTTTTTTACTTATAGCTTATAACTTATAAGTTGATAAGTTAGAGGTGTCTTAACTTATAAAATTTGACTTATTAATGGTACAACACCTTCATAAACTATCATATTCAAACATCCTTTTTGACTTATATTATTGATATGAAATCGGTAATAAACTAAAAAGAGCTTAATTAAGTTTATCCAAACACCCCTTTAGAATTTTTTGTCCCTATAAGCTCCTGACAAATAAAAAATTACGTGTTTTTAAAATCTGTCTATTTTGCTTTCTTTCATCCTTCCATTTATGTATGAAAAAAATTTCAAACTTTTAAATATGTTACAGGCCGAAAAAAGGCTTGGTGAAGCAATCTTGGGCCTAGGTTGTATGTGCAACTTTAGGACAACCATACGAGACCTGGCTAAGGATACAAAAGAAGAAAAAAAATTAGTCGGGTCGGGTCTTCTAAAGAGAAGTGGACAACGGTCATTAGGGACAACTAGATTGACCTTTGACCACGTGGATCACAAATTTGGTCCAACTTTAACCGGGCCCAAATTATACCCGTTCAGTTACTGCAACTACTACTACTCAAACTCCAATTAAATAATCAAAGAAAAATTTGCCCGATCGGCATTAACCTCAATCTTTGACTCTCACTTTCAACGGTCAATATTCAAATCCCTACTCCACCGTCATCTTTAACTTGAACATTTCTTTTACCCCCTCTACCTTTGACCCGAACCACTAGAATATATAAACAGCCTCTAATCATCAAAGATTTATAAAACCCATTAATTTTTTTCCAAATCATTCATACCCACTTCATTGGTTCTGGTTTTTCTATTCATAAAATGACATTTTTTTGGAAGAGACAAAGAGCTAGTCGCTTAGCAGGCAAGAAGCTTCTTTCGAAGCAAAATTCTCAGCTAGAACTCACCATTCCGACACATTTCAGGTGCCCGATATCTCTTGATCTTATGAAAGATCCGGTGACTTTGTCGACAGGAATCACTTACGATCGTCAGAGCATAGAGAAGTGGATACAAGACGGGAATCAAACGTGTCCGGTTACAAATCAAATCCTCACAAGTTTTGATCAGATACCAAATCATATGATCCGAAGAATGATTCAAGACTGGTGTGTGGAGAATCGCGCTCATGGCATTGAAAGAATACCAACTCCTCGAACCCCCTTAACCTCATTCGATATAGTGGAGATTTGTTCTAAAATGATGGGTGCAGCTTCCAAAGGCGATGAAAAAAAGTTTCTTGATTTGATGGGAAAAGTACACGTTTGGGCTAATGAAAGCGAACATAACAAGAACCTCATTAAAGATAATGGACTCGGTTATGTGTTAGCGGCTTCATTTGAGTCGTTTTCGAGTCTTTCTTATGAAAAACATGAAGATCTTCTAAAGGAGATTATGTTTTTGTTAACGTGGATGTTTCCTTTAGGGATTGAAGGGAGATCTATGCTTGGATCAACAGAATCTTTACGTTGCATGACATGGTTTTTGTCAGGAGATGACTTGTTGCTCAAGAAAAGTTGTGTTCTAACTCTAAAAGAACTTCTCTCCACCGATCAAACCCATGTGCAGACCTTAATCAACATCGACGGCCTTCTAGAAGCATTGATCAAACTTATAACCACACCCGATTGCCCTTCAGCCAAAAAATCTTCTTTTGCAGTCATATATTACATACTTTCAACACCTGTTGCCCGCAGCAAAGTCTCATCAAGATTCATCGAATCGGGTGTGGTTGAATCGAGCTTAGAAGCTCTTGTGGAAGCCGATAATAAGGGGTTGAGTGAAATGGCGTTAGGCGTATTAGACTGTCTCTCTGATTCAAAAGAAGGGAGGGAAAGAGTGCAGAAACATGCATTATCTGTTCCATTGTTAGTAAAGAAGATACTGAGAGTCTCTTCTTTAGCTACTGATTTCTGTGTTTCAATGCTGTGGAAGCTCAGCAACAATGACGATGGAGATACGTTGGTGGAAGCTCTTCATATTGGAGCCTTTCAAAAGCTTTTGCTCATGTTGCAGGTCAACTGCGGTGAAGAGACGAAGGTGAAAGCTACTGAGATGCTGAAGTTGATGAATCAATACAAAAATAAATTAGATTGTTTTGATTCTGCAAATTACAAGTATCTCAGGAAGTCGTACTGATTTTTGTAAGTTTGTAATTAATTTTTGTTGATAATCTTTAACTCCGGTTTTAAGAAAAAGAAGATTGTGTATATCCAATTTTGTTAACTTGTAAGATTAAAAAAGTCTGAAAATATTCTCTACTTTTTCTGTTTGATTCAACAATAAATATGAACAAGTTAACAATTAATATTGGTTTTTTATATTCTTTAACTAGGTAGCACACGGTTCATAATAATAAATTTTAAATAATAAAAAAATTTATTTAATAGTAAATGTTCCTACCCAATAAAATTATAACAAGTGTCATAATTTCATATTTTTTTAACTAACTCATTAATATATTAGGAATATATCAAATAAAATCAAATTGAATGGTAATTTGTCATAATTTTAATGGGTAGAAATAATTGTAAGCATAAAAAGTAGGAGGTAATTTAATTTCTCATTGCATATATATATATATATATATATATATATATATATATATATATATATATATATATATATATATATATATATATATATATATATATATATATCTATATAGTGTATTTTGATAAAGCTTATAACGTTTATGTATATATAATATTTTAAATGCATAGAAATTTTAAATAATGTTGAATCCGGTATCAAAATGATGACTATTAAAAATTTTACGGTATACAAACTATATATATATATATATATATCTATATATATATATATATTATATAATATATATTATATATATATATATATATATATATATCTATATATATATGAGAAAAGTGAATATACCCTTAAGGGTATATAAGATTAGGAACCTAATACTTAAAACTACATAGTTTTGATTAGTGGTTTAATTTTTAACCAAAAAAAAAATCCCAAAAACAATATGTAAAGTGTATCGGTTCGTTTTCTTTTATTCCTTCATCCAAACCTAACGATGTTATTCAATCCATTATCAATTACTTTGGCTTCTAATTCATGTTCAAATATTTTTTTTATAACTTCACGGTGTTAGTGATTGGAGGAAAAAAAATTGATTATGTCTATAGCCACACGTAAGGTTTCATGTTAATCTATATGTGTTGGATTCATGGAATTAGTAATATTCGCATAAACTAAACGAAAATCCAAATTCAATCTTGAAAAAGTGATTAAATGACTACATCCACACCCACTAGGATTCAAGTTTTCCGTTTGTGTTTTGGATTCATTAAATTAATAATACGAGCATAAAATAAACAAAAAACTCCAGTTCAATCAATTTTGTGTATGTGTTTCAACCGACGAATAGCGTCACAAAAAATAAATTTGTTGCAGAAGGACGATTGATTGACCTTATTCATAAATTGGGCCGACTTATATTGAATTGTGATTTTCATGAATCATTCGAAAATCAAGGATACATTGTGTTCGATGTTGTCACTCAATGTGAATAACGAAACGTAATAATTTTGTTTTAGGTAATTTTTTTTTTCCAGAAAATGAAACCACTAATTAAAACTATCGTAGTTTTAAATATTGGGTTCCTAATCTTATATACCCTTAAGGGTATATTCACTTTTTCCTATATATATATATATATATATATATATATATATATATATATATATATATATATATATATAATATATATATATATATATATATCTCCCCTATCCTAATAAATAAGTAGAATAATGTCACGTGTCAGTCTCCCAGACCCCAAAATAGAGTTTTCCCGCTTCTTTTCTTCAGGTCGATTTACGTAAATGCCATTCACTTCAAAATCGGGAATCAATCAACAATATACTCCGCAATTCAATTTGTCTATTATTTCGTCACTGCACTCCAATTTTGTTCCTGAAAATTAGGAATCAATCAACAATATACTCCGCTTGTAGATAGGTATCCGATATGCTGACTTCTTATATTTCCTATTTTCTCGATCTAAAACCCTAGATGTCACCACCATTGGATGCGTCTCCTTCGTCCTTCTCCCACTGGAAACGAACCGTAAACGATGTTGCTTCCTTCTCTTCTTGCCTCCTTTATCGTTACTCATGGTATGCTTCTACCTCCAATTTGTTGTTTATCCAGACACGTTCTTTAATATGGTCTTCTTATATTTTATTGTTTGTTCAATTTTTTCTTGATTCTAAATGTGAGTATTAGATTGATCCATCACTTAATTATTTCTTCTTAACCTAGCGTAATAAATGATGTTCAGAAACCATTGTACATGATTTGCTGATGGAAAACTTGAATACGATGGATTGATGGTGCACTGTATGTGTTTGATAAAATGCTTGTGAGAACTTGGGCTTGTGTTACTGTTCGTGTGTGTTTGGGATGCTGTAATTCAAATAAAGTAAAGTATAATCCTATTTCTTTGAAACCTAATAGGACTTTGTATTCTTGCAGTTTTGGAAAGTGTCAAATAATTCATTGGAGGCAAGTTCACAAACAAGAGTGCTAATTGTTGGTGTGCAACAGTAGTTGTGTATCCACCTTCTGATTTTAGCAATCAATATACTGAATGGAGTCAAGATATGTTGTTAGAACAGAAAGTAGCAATGCAATCTTCAACCTATCTTCCGGATGGCATCATGACACATCAGCAGAAATGGGAATTATAGACGTGTATGCTGAAAACTGTGTTCTCTTATCATCATTTAACGGAAGTGGGTCCATTTTGAGATTAAATTACGAAAATACCCCTCGTATGAATGATGTGATCATTACAAGTCCATCTATTTCTTCTACCATTAGTAAATGATGTTTCTCGATTTGGAAGCTTTGTGGAAAATGATAGTATTTTAGAGTTTCCTGTTATTATTGAAAATGTAACTGATAATCGGCCACCTGGCATCCCTTCATCTGCAGCAGTAATGCCATATGTTCAAGATGAATCAAGTGATGGAGTTTTAGTAATTAGAAATAGAGAAAATGAGATTGTTGCTCAATCTCATAGCAAGGTAAATTATTTATATAAATTCATTTTATTTAGTAATTTTCTTTGGCCAATTTGATTAATCTTCAGTTTTAGGATGTTGAGGATGATAAAGGAGTGAATGGTGAACACCATACAACAGTAGCTAAAGCTGAAGATGGGATGCATGGTCTGCAGATGATGTAATTCACGCTCTCTCCTGTTAAAAATTGGGCGAATAAATAAAAGTTTAAAAAACTTTAAACAAATAAAGATTTTAGCTTATTTTAACTAAGGATTCCATAGATGCAGATCATAAACATGTTGATCTTGAGGAACTATGTGAATTAGGAGCCGATACATTTTGAACTATTTATCATGGTAAATGGAGGGGAACAAACGTTGCTATAAAAAGGATTAAAAAAGCTGTTTTTCGGGAAAAAAAAAATCAGAGCAAGAGCGATTGGTAAGTTGATATTTATTGCATCTAACCTAAACTATATATAAAGAAAGATTAGATTTGATCCATGATTATTTTGATAGACTAAATACTTTTGGAGAGAAGCTCAGATACTTTCAAGACTTCACCACCCAAATGTGGTGGCACTTTATGGTGTGGTGCCAGATGGGCCCGGGGGAACATTATCCACTTTTACTGAATATATGGTTAATGGTTCACTTAGACATGTTCTATTGAGAAAGGATAAGTAAGTTGAACATCAACTTATTACTTATTTAAAAAAATGGATATGAAGAATTAACATATATGTTGCAGATCATTTGATCGGAGAAAGAGGCTTTTAATTATGCAAGATGTTGCAGTTGGCATGAAGTATTTGCATTGGAAAAACATTGTTCATTTTGATTTAAAATGTGAAAACTTGCTTGTTAATTTGGGAGATCCTCATAGACCCGTATGCAAGGTAATTCATATCTATTTTTTTTATAATTTATAAAATTCCAAGTAACAAATATTACATTTAAAATACCATTATACAATTAAATTCCAGATTGGTGATTTTGGTTTATCAAGAATTAAACGAAACACACTTATGTCGGGTGGAGTAAGAGGAACACTTCCATTGATGGCCCCAGAGCTTTTTAGTGCTCTTAACAATCTAATTTCCCTAATCATATTTACTCTTATGACAATTTGTTAATGTTAGCATGTGAAGCTTTTCAAGGGAAGCATACATAACTATGTATTGCAGTTATGTGTTTGGACCTTTTTTCCCCTCTAATGTTTTATGTTTATCTTTACCGTTTCATTTTTTTCCTGGTAACACTAACAATTGCAGCTTTGAGGACACTTTAATTTGGTATCACAAAAAACTATATACACTATACAAACGACGCTTAGGTGGTGTTTTTTTGGCTTAACGGTTTAATTTTAGCATACAAGCTATGCTTGATCAATGGACAATAAAACAAGGTTATATTTATGTTTAATTTTTTTGATATATATTCATCATTTATGGGGTCTTAGTAGTTGGTTGCTATTAATGACACTATTAAAATCAGCAAGGTCCATGCTAATTGTAAGATTGTATATTTTTTATTTTTTGATTGCATGTGGTATTATATTTTTTTAACCAAAATTTACTATTTGGTATTAGTAATTCCATGGTTTGGAATTAATGTTTACTCGTTTGCATTTAAAAATGATTATAATGAATTTTTGTGTTGGATTTTATTTTGGTATATGGAACAAAGAATGTGGGTTTCATTTTACAAGGTTAAAATGGAAAATTCTGTATCAGGTTTATTATTTTGTTATCGATGGAATTGAGGAATCATTTTATTCTGTTCATTTTTACGACTTTGATCCAAAAACAAAGAAAGTAATTGGTAAAAGTTTTAAGTGCATTGTTTTTTTTTGGTAAAAGTCTACAAATACATTGCTATTATAACTATAAATGAATGGTGGTATTATTTTATTACATAATCAATTTTTTAATTCTATTTAAAATTAACACACGTGGGTTCCACGGGTTTTAACTTAGTGTATATCTATATATATATATATATATATATATATATATATATAGATATATATATATATATATATATATATATATATATATATATATAAAAGCTATTTACATAGAATATGTGAAAATAT